ATTGTGGACATAATTAATCAATTAAAAATGTTTAAATGTTTCAAATACAAAAAAAACCGGTAAAAATAAATTTGATAAAGGACAAATGAAAATATAGCCTTTCTAAACTTTTGCATGGTAGAACCAGAAGCTGCTCTTCATATTAGTGACAAACAATAACAGTAACAACAACTTTTTGACAAGTTTAAAGTTTCTAAAGGACAAATGAAAATATAGCCTTTCTAAACTTTTGCATGGTAGAACCAGAAGCTGCTCTTCATATTAGTTACAAACAATAACAGTAACAACAACTTTTTGACAAGTTTAAAGTTTCTTTAAAATACATTAAAATATTAAAAAAATAACTACAAAAATAATTTGATAAAGTGTAAATTAAAAATATAGCAGTTTCTGCAACTATAATTGATAATGTTTTGAACTTTTAAAATACTGCATGACAGAACCAGAAGCTGTACTTCATATTAGTGACAAATTTTGGCCTTTTTTGATGGTTTGCCTTCATTTTTGTCTTCTACTTTTCATTTAAAATAGGTTTCCATTTTCAGCAGGTTTCTAAGGTTCTTCTACATATTAAAAAAGTTGTTAAACATCTGAGTGGCGCACTACCGCTACTAGTGGTGAGAAAGTGTATTGCAGCTTATTCAAAATCAATGCGGTCCCATGGCCCTCTGTGGCCCAAAGTAAAAAAACTGTTGTTCTTTTGAGGTCCTCAAGGTGGCGCAATGTGGGCCGCGGCCCATGGGTTAAGAATCTATGAAATAAAGGGCTTCATTTTTCTAGAACAAACTAAAGGAAAACATTTTGTTAARAAGCATCTGACCTGTTCTCCTCTGGGATGTGAAGGGCCATCATAGTGAGRGGCTCCATACACTGCACCATCCAGCCCAGCCTCTCACTTATGCGCCCCGTCTCTGGGGCCAAGAAGTTGTTGGGCATTCGACTCCAGATGACRGGAGTCAACATCTGGACATCCAGTCTCGGCGGGCACTGGGGAACGGTGTTTTTACGTTCYCTTCGGAACATGGCAGCTGATAAAGGCATGATGTTCTAGCAGGACAAGGAGAACGAATAATGCATGAAAGCTGGTAACATGAAGCTAATAATGTGAGGCTTTTAGAGYTTAAATGTACTGTGGCTAACCTTGAGCTTGCCCAGTTCAAACTGAATTACGTTTTGATTAGAGGGCAGGACGAAGACGGCCGGGAAAAGCTTTGTGTTRGTCTCCACCTGAAAGAAGATTCTGCAGTAAATAACCAGGCCTTCATAAGAACTAGCATACATGCCAGACTCATCTAACCTGGTAAAATGTGTTTATCTCTTTTCCATTAGCAGTGAAAGTCATGAGTCCTGTGTCCAAATCAACGAGACAGCCAATCACAAAATCCTCCTGACTGACCCGGGTTTGCTGGGAGCCGCCAAACTCCCCTCCCCAAACCATGTAGCAGTTACTGCGCTTTATACTGAAGAAGACAGGTGAATAAATAAAGCAACTTCTCAAGTGAAAACGCTTATTTTTTCATGCAGCTCGCATACCTGTCYTGAATGTTGCCTTTATCATCGCCTACAGTGACGGTGACGGTTCTCACTTTGCTGAGGTCATAATGAAGGTCGTACTGGTGGTAGTCTGGTGTGACCCAGCCCACCCACACGCCCGCCGGCTCCTGTCCTGCGAATATTCTCACTGAGTAATAGTACTGATGACGAAAGGGGGAAAGATTAAAAAAATGCCCATTAGTGTGCWGTAGGTTTTAGTAAAAAYCAAATAGAATTGAGRGAGACAAATAAAATTTGATCATAATATATGCAAAGGAAAAGACATAAGTCTCATACAGTTGTGGTGTTCAGGATTATGTCCATYTCATCTCTGTCATCTGGTACGACATCTTCAACTAAGCGAGGTAAGGTGGGAACAACAGGAGGTGGAGTTATTAATGCAGCCTTCTTTGCCTTAAAAAGAAAACTGTAAATAACAGAAACAATTACAAGTTATAAATAATAATAATAATAATAATAATTAATAGGCCATTTTACATTTGTAATCTAATTTACATAATAAAAGTATTCCCTTTTTTGTTAAAATATCACTCTGTGTTGACTGTGTACCCTTTTTTCTTGCTTTTCTCAGTGGAGGCGTCCTTCTCGTTCTCTCCGTTCTTGACACCAGAAGCCTCTTTAGGCACAGAGGGCTCTTTCTTCTCCTCCTCCTGCTCTTTGCGAGAAGCTGACTTCTTCAGTATTTCGAATTCGGAGTTGGGGTCCACCTCTAAAAGCTCATCCTCCGGAATGGTCAGAGCCCGAGTCAGGAGCGTAGTCCCGGCTGGGACTTTGAAGGTCTCATGAAACTCAATGGGTATGCTGAGCCTGAAGAACAGCAGGTCGGTGTTGGCGTTCTGAGACCCAAACGTCTTGTGGGACACTTTAAGACAAGGAGGCGTGTCCACTGTCCCATCAACACGTGATATCTAAAAAAAACAAACCAAAGAAAAAACTAATGATTTAGAAATAAATAAATAAATAACGGGCACTTTTAGAAGAAAACTAACAAGTGAGGCCGAATACCTCAATATGAGGATGATCAGTGGGAACAATCTTGAACTGAGGAAGACTTTTACTGAACCACATGGTGATYTCTCTTTTCATGTTYATAGCAAACGGCTCAAATCCCTCCTGCAGGCCGCAGATGGTGAAGTAACGAAGACTGCTGACATTCTGACCCAGGTTGATTCTGCCAATCTGGGACAGACCCAGACTGCACACAGGTATGAAGCCTAAGAGAGTTTGATATATGCATGAACATGACTGTAAATGAAAAGTAATGAATCTGAAAATGTTCTAACTGAGAACAGTAAATACCCTCTCCTATCTCGATATCCTTAAAGGCCATTTCGGAGCCTGAGTCGCTGATCAGCATTTCTCCATTGAGCGTAAACATGATGTTCATTTCTGTCAGGTCGATCATGCAGCCCACCACATCACCAGACTGCCACTGACGGCCAAACGGCTCCGTTCCCACATGCCAACGTTGAGCCTTAAAAAGACAATAATTTATGAGTTTTGAAACTTTWTGTAATATTTGTTATGTACTCCTCCCACCGCTCACTTCCCTCCCAAACCGACCCATGCGCAGTGAGTTACATGCAACGTAGCACGTCYCCCACCTTGAAACCGTTGAAGACGTATGCCAGCTCATCAGCTCCGAGCTCGGTGTCGGCCCGAACACTGGGCCTGGCCCACCCCACCCTCATCTCTCCCACCGTCACAGCCTCGAATTCAAAGTACCACTTCCCCTGAGTAACGGCATAAGACTTCTCAGCTCGAAACACTCGGATTTTATTGTCACGAGAGCTGCCTGTTCCGTGGCCACCTGCAAAACAAAAAATTAAAAAAATACAGTGAACACTTGAAAAGATGGTGTTGGGTTTTGGTTATCCWATAAAACATCGTTAGTTGCATTAACAAAAATAAAATGCTCTYCAGACTTACTGCTCTCTTGGTCAGGTGGTTCTATGTTGTAACCATATCCAATGAGAGTGCGAACAGCTGCACAAACCGTGTCTCTGTTGGTCTTTTTAGTCTTTTCATCCAGCAGGTTGTAAGGAACCAGTCGGGGGTTGCGTTTGTTCATGATATCCTATAAAATAATTTATAACAAGCACAAAAATCACCAAATGTTGCATAAATCCAAGAAAATATCTTCATATTATGATTCCTATTGATTTCACAGCCCCACAGAATGAATCAAAAGGTRGTACCTGCACAATACTGTATGTCCAGCCCTGGCGAACGCGGTCCCTTGCCCACACATTGTGTCCATTTTCTGCCAGTCTCTCAACTAGAGTGTTCTGATTAGGAGTCAGCTTGACATGATTGAGGTCCAATGGTGCTGGCTTGTATCCATTAGTCTGCATGTAACTAGTAAACAACATTTTCTGCTATTTAAAGGTCATTACAGTGACGTAAAGACAAACAGTCTCACAAAATGAACTGAAATCAGTGAACATGCTGCAGCTCACGTTTTGGGGAGTTTGGTCCTTTTCAGGTTTTCCTCTGCTTTTTCATCTCCCATTCCAACATGACAGCCAAGAGCCAGCAGAGTCCTTTGAATGAAACACAAAACATTAGAAAGAAAAAAATATATATTTATAAAATATATAAACCCAAATAAAGACTGACATACTTCAGTGTCTCTCCTGACATTGCTAAATTGTAGTTCTTTTCAGGCTCAGGCAAACTCTGGAAATCGACAAGGCAGGGGTGCATCTTCTTGTTGTCGTCYCGTAACTTTTACAAAACAGAGCACAAACATTTAAACAAACGGTTGCTGTGCACACTTTTTTTTTATTAATTAGTAATTAAAGCACTCACTGGTCCATATGTCCACCCTTGTTCWATGCGGGTGACGGCCCACAACTCGTGACTGTTTTCTGCAAGTTTCTCTCGAATTCGCTCCAAGTGAGGAGGAAGAACAATCTGAAATAGCAAAACGACAAGGATGAAAGTTGGAGGATAAAAAAAATGTAAAAGTAAACTGCCAAAATTCTGGCCTTTCCAAAGCAATGGAAGAGGATTTTACCTGTATAGTGTCCACAGGGCATGGAGTGAATGCTGTATGTGACAGGGATTGTGTTGGACCCAGCAGATTGCGGACCTCGTTAAAATCYTGTTTGTACTCTTTGATGAACTCAATCCGCAGGCGGTCTCTGGGCAGCACTGCCTCGTAACAAGGRGCATAACCAGGAGGAGGAAGAAACTTGAAGTCACCGTGGCGGCCTCCGAGGAGGAATCGCAGCCTTAAATTTGAGACAAAAATTCAAATTTATRAGGATTTGTTCACGCTTAAATCAGAGCTTTGGAATCAAGAAAAACATGTTATTCAAAGGAACAGCTTAGACCTTTTAAAGAGTGTCTCTGTGGAGAGGTTAGGAACAACTGAGTGGACTTAATTTTGGAAAAATAGAGTTTAAAGTGCCTGTGGCATCCAATTTTTCTAATAAATGTGAACGCGTTTTTGGAAAGAGAACATTGAAAACAAGTTGCAAAACAAATTCCAAGCTGCTGTGGTGATCGGTTGTTGAGATATTTGCATGTGAAGAAACAGGAAGTGATGTCAAAGGGGAATGTCTGAATGTAAACAGAGCACTGCTGCAATAATTTGAGAATAATATGACGTTTCTTTAGAAGAAGAGTTAAAATAAGATTGTTTCAATAAACAAAGACTAGGGAGTTTCTTTTCTTAAAGAGTTCCCCTTTGATGTCACTTCCTGTTTCACTTTGCTGAGCCAAATTCAAGAGAAAATATGCCAGTTATGAGACAAAATGGGTAAAATCATGTTTATTATYCTAATTTTCTTAAATATAAATAGGTTTTCTTTGACTTTTTGTATTTGAAGATAAGCATGTCACAGGCCCTTTAAATCCAACCAAGTTGACAAGATAAAGAGCAAGTCCAAACAGGACTAGAGAACTCTTTCCACAGAACCTTGCTTTAACAGATCCAAACGATTGCTTTGAGTTCCTACTTCACGCCTGCAGAGAAGCTGACGACTGGAAAGAACAGGCCATCCAGGTTGAAGTTCTCAAACATGCCCTGAACAGGATGCCCGTTGATGCGGAAGGAGATGCTGGGCACACTTAAATCCAGACAGCAGCTGACCACGTCCTCTGCTGCCAGCGCGTGCTGACTGGAAGAAGCAACGTGGCGGGGGACACGTCCTGCCGACATTTAAAAGATCAACGTCTTTTTCGAACAAAATAAATCCTAACAGTAAAATCAACTTAATGTGAAAGATGGAGTAATTAAACTTTCTTTACCTGACCAAAGGAAAAGCCCATCAAAACCGTAGGAGTAGAGGTCATCACCGACCCCGTTACACCCCCAGCCTTCCCCGCCCCCGGGGTAAGGACTATAGCCCTCCGTCAGAGCCCAACCCACACGCAGGTGATACGGCTGAGCTGTAAGAAACGGCTCCACGTGGTCCACCATCACCTCAAAATACCACTTCTTATACTGAGTGGAGCCTTCACAGGTTCCAAGGAAAATGTTGGGTCTCATGCTGACGAGGGGTGACAGAACAAAAGCCGGACTCAGAGGAGCGGTTTAAAGAAGAAAGCGTTTTTCGTTTCAAGTGAACTGACCCACCTGGTTACATAGTTGATGATGTTGGTTTGAAGCAGGAGGTCACGGCCAGGAAGTAGATTCTCTGTGATGAGATTCTGATTGGACCTGACAGCCACCCCGTTACACACACAGAGAGAGCACAGGACATCCAAAACCTGGCAGGAAACAGTCCACGCAGCTTCATGAGGATCGAGATAAACTTTTATGTGATTATTTCTTAAAGCACGATTCTTTCTTCTTATCATCAGCAAATTTAGATTATTATTCACCTTGTGGTTGCGTCCATGCTTGTCCAGAAGAGAAATGATTGATTTGATGTGATTCTCCTGAATGATATTCAACACCTCTGGACTCTCAATCAGAACACAATACAGAACCTCCAGGATTCCTGTTATAAAAATGACATCATATATGGTGATACATGTGCTTTAAAGTGAATATATCATGCTTTTAAATCCTTCTTTTTCACATTTAAATCATTCAYTTGGGGTCTATATAAAGTGGAACTGCAATGCTTCGGCCTGAATTCCTCCTTATTGCAACTCCACAAGCCCCTCTTTTAGCCGTTTTCTGATCGGTGTCTTGGATTAACTCGTTTTGAGGCTGTCTCTTTAAATACAAACAAGATGCTGCACACTCCACCCCCCTCCAGCTTCCAGAGCAGTCTGGTTGTAGCTTGATAGAGGAGTTTACAACTACACTGCAGAGCAGAAACTTTCTGTTTACAAATTGGTTTGGGCAATTCTGTCACAAATTCTGTGACGTAACAGTTCAGAAAACATCATAGAAAAAAGAAAACTGACTGAGTTGAAAAWTTTGACTCTAACAGAATATAAAGATATRYTTGCAACACCTGAGACTAAATTCAACTTTTCTACACTGCTAAAGCCTCCAAGWACACAARAAAATGTATTTAATGMATAAAAAAGTAGATTCTGCATATGTCTGCTTAAAATAAGCTGATAGCTAGATAGATCATATGTGTTTATGCTTCTCAATCAGAAACAAATGTTGGCAAATAAACAGAAAGCAAACTGCCAGTCTCAAACCTGATGATGCTTCCAGTCGGTCCAGTTTACTGACCAGCCAGTCGAGGTTYTCACAGAACAGAGCGCAGTTAGCACGGTTTCCTCTGATCAAAGAGGCTTCACAAGAACAGAGAAGCAGAAAATGAGTGATGCAGAATATTCAAAAACAAGTTTGTGTTCCACATAAAGCAAATAACTACAAACCTAACAACTCATACAGTAAATTTACTATCTCTTTCCACGACTCAGCAGCTTCTTCCCCGGCATACTCTGAGAAGTGGGCTGCAGTGTTGTACACGTTGAGTCGATCAATGCAGTCCAGGACAAGAGTGATCATACCCTATACCAAAAACAAGAGAACCTTTAAAGAAAACATATTTATCTTCAWGGTAATCAAAACCAAACTTCAGCTCTTTTCATAAACATTAAAGCCTCGTTATGTCGACGGACCTCCTCCTGAAACAGGTTCTGTCTGTTCTTGAGAGAGCGAAGCTTAAACTGTTTGTCTTCATGTTCTAGTTCCTCCTCGGGCGGTCTGAAGTAAAAAATCAGATCCTGTAGCGAGAGCACCACTGTGTCCATCGGCAGAGATGGAGGATTGGTGGATTTGTTTTTCCCACTCAACGCATCTAGGCCTCTGGAAACATGAGAAGAAAAGAAAATAAGCCGCACAGAAAACAAAAAGTCGACTTTTATCTGAGAGTTAATGAAAATGTAACTGAAAAAGGTCTACTTGATGAACTGGTTGAAGAGGCCTGTTGTGCTGTAAATCATTCTGGCAGCTTGGGACTCTTCAGTTTGAGAGCGAGCAACTGTGAGCGCATCGTCCATGTGACCTTCTTTATGGAGTATGGCCTGAAATCAGCAAAAGACAGTCACTCTTAAAGCATTAATGTGAAACATTCAAGTGCTAAATATTTATAAAGGCCAAATGACAATTTGGTCAATCACTAATCAAAGCTATAATTCTTTATACCTTTCTCTTCAGAGGGCCTAGACGTGCAGATTTGGCATCAACAGCAGCGTATGTAAGCCAGAGACCAGAAGAAACATGTTGCACAAAGCACATGGACTCTCCATACTTTATCTCAGGTGTGCCCATGCCTTCCACGTCTCGCTTCTGAGTCACTTCAATTTTTTCCTGAAGTAAGAAAAACCAGCATGTGTTTTTTTTATTTATTATAGTGCCTTTTAGAATATCATTACTCAAAGCTGCACGGTTGACCTTTTATAACAAAGACCTTAGAAATTCTGAAGCAGAAAGCTGACATCTTGGAATTGGCTTTTTCTGGGTCCACAAGCAGAAGTCCTTTCTCCTCGTCGAGGAACAGATATCTTCCTGTGGTGATGTGGCGTACCCGGAAAGACTGACCCCATTTAATGTGACCTCCGCTCCATCTACAGAATTTCAAAAGTAAAAAGAGAACAGGCATCAGCAAATCTCAGAACCACTAAAAAGTGAGGGAGAAAGGAGACACTCACGCGATCCGCAGTGGTTCGAGTCTCCACAGGGATCGAGCATGACTGCACACGGCACCACCTTCATAATGAGCAACTCTGGAAAGAAAAGATAATAAGTTTGAGCATTGTTTTATTGAGTTCCAAGTTTTGAGTACTTTATATTTTGTTGATAGTGTATCTATTACCCATCGATTAATTTAATCAGTGTATACACAAATCTAGAAAAATAAAATTGTGGTTCAGGATGAAAAGGGTGCAAACTGAAGGAAAATTTTCATCATATCTGTCCCTTGTTTAAAAAAATGATAACAAAAGTTAAATAAAAAACAACCAAGTTTTTTTTAAAGCACGGTCAACTAATTTGTAATTGCATYATTGTGCAAAAAACACCAGTCACCTGCGCTGATCATCCCCCTGATCAGCTCCTGGAATTGCCAAACACTCGTCCATGTGACCATGAAACAGTCTGAGCACATACCCTCCAGTCAGAAAACCTAGAGAACAACAGCAATGCTTAAATAGAGCTGAGGCATTTAGGGAAAAGGGGCATCTTGGCAAGAACCAAATCCCAGACCTTCAGCGAGTTCGCATCCAGACATCACAGGGGTCATGGTCCACAGAGTTTGCATGAAAGACGCATCGACCATCAAGTCACCACTTGCATAGGAGAGGTGCTGAACAGAGRAAAGGTGTTAAATCTGTCAAATTAAACTGACAACAGAGCTTTATTGTCATGTGTTAAAATTGTAACWGTTACCAGATATCTCTCTGAAGAAGCACTGACGAGGATGAGGTCATCTCCCACCCTGACCTTCTCACCCTCAGACCTTTGCTTGGATGCTGGATGTATGGTCCACCAGCAGGCCTCGCCTACAGACAAAGATTAACAGTAAGTGTGCATGTTGGTATAGTTTGTTATACAGAGCAGTAACTTTCATTTCCTAACCTGTGGAGTCTTCCTGCAAGCCCACATCAAAGGCCAGTTTGTCTGTCAGTGAGCGAGATGTCGTCAGACAGCTCAAATACTGCAGTGCYAAGACAGAAAACATAAACTAGGATGATTATTTTTACAAAACGGGAAAATTATTGTTGGATTGTMAATGTGCTCACCATGTTGGAGTGTGTGTGTTTCAGCAGAATGGCATGTCCATACAGCAGAGTTCGACTGCCTCCACCTTGTGACGACTAAAGAGCCAGAAACATTTTTTAAAAATTAAAAAAAGGGGTTGAAGTGGAGTTACAATAGTCATAAAATAATCATTGAGCTAAAAACAAGAAATATTGCAATGGCACGTGAAGCTGAAGATGTAAATATGGCCTGCACCGACACAGATTTTCACTGAATAAACYACAGAAACTAATTAGACTGAAAAAACATTTCTTTTAACTATAAGATTTTCTAAAAAGAAGGTTACAGCTTGTGTTTCTCTAAAATAAAAACACGTCAATTTCTACGTATTTTTAAGATACACTGCAAGTTGTTAAAAACCTTCCATGTAGATATGTATGGAGGTCCGAATCTGACATAATTAGAAAAAAATCTGAAATATATAAATGAATCAACGAACAATAATAACATAAATAAAATGCACCAATAGAAAAATGATTCGTTAAAAACAAGCACAGTTAAGAGTTTTCCTCATTGCCTTTGTTTTAAACTAAACTTTAAATGAAGCTGAGACAGCACAAGCATGCACAGTAGGTCTGCACATTCCTGCTCCTTCCTGACTGTTGACCAATAGGAGAGGTGCTGACCCAAGAYGTACCACCCYCTCTAATTTACATAATGAGGCAGAAATACATAAGGAAATATAAAAAGCAACACATAGAAATAAAAATACTTAAATCATTTAAGAGACACAAATGCACATACAAGTTAAAGG